AGAAAAGAAATTAAACTACATAATTGGTGAAATAAATTTAAACGCATTCAATTATCATGTAAATTACAAAATAAATGGGTTTTATAACGATTTATTTGAAAACGGCGCAATTCCGTTAATCAATAAACCTACAAGGGTAACTTCAAACTCTGCTTCCTTAATAGACAACATTATGACAACGGATACTTTTAATGAATCCATCAAAAAGGGTTTAATTAAAAGTGATGTTTCTGATCATTTTCCGATTTTTTCTCAATAAATATTGACATTGAGTTAGTACCGATAACAAATTAAGTTTTCTTTAAACGATGTTTCAGTGAAGCAAATTTAATGTCGTTTAATGAACAACTATCATTACTACACTGGAAACATATAAATTTCTTATCTGAAGCAAATCTAGTTTATAACTCGTTCTTTAAAACATTTTTTGAAATTTATGACGCAAACTTTCCTCAATACGAAGTAAGTCTTACAAAAAAAAGTATTAAGTCACCATGGATTACAAAAGAACTTAGAAAATCGTCCAAAGTTAAACAAAAATTATATATAAAGTATTTAAAGTCTGAAACTGATAAAAATAAGGAGATTTATAAAACTTACGTGAAGCATTTTGAATGTCAAAGAAAAAACTTAAAAAAAAAAATACTACTCAAACTTACTAGAGAAGTTTAAAAAAAATAAAAAATATAGCAAAAAAATTTGCTAAAAACTATAATCTTTTTTGAACTAAAAAGTAAAAAATAAACTTTTTGATTAAAATTTAATAGTTCAGTAAACTAAAGATTGACAGGTATGTTTCTAAATAAATCTTGTGCAGACCTGTCAATCTTTAGTTTACTGAACTATTAAATTTTAATCAAAAAGTTTATTTTTTACTTTTTAGTTCAAAAAAGATTATAGTTTTTAGCAAATTTTTTTGCTATATTTTTTATTTTCTACTTTTTAGTCTTAACAAATTTTTCATATGAAATACAAAACTAAAAAAAATTATTAAAAAAATTAAAAAACTAAAATACAAACCTACAAGCAATCTTGCCGATCTAAAAAAAAAATTTATTAGTAAAAAAAATTTTTTTTAAATAAATAAACCCGCAAGCAATTTAGTGACTAACTTTTACTAAAAAGAAAAGTTGCGAGTGGTTGAAGGACGACAAAGTTATTTGAGGAAGAGTTCATATCAAGTGAAAGAAAAGATAATAACTCAAAGCGCACGTGGCAAATTTTAAATGAAATTACTAGCAACTATAAGAGTAAAACAAGCAACTTGCCAAAAGTTTTTAAAAACAATGATGCTTTTTTAAATAATTCAAAAGATATAGCAAATCAAATAAATAACTATTTTATAACCGTTGGTCCAAACTTAACTAAAAATATTCCAATTATAACTAACTCAACAAATTATTTTACCCTTCCCATAATTTCCGTACTAAATAATTTTGAAATTTCCATGAAAGAATTTAAATGTGCTTACAAAATGCTAAAAACCAATAAAGCAAAAGGCGCGGATGGAATAAATAGTAACATGTTAATTGCATCTTCCCTATCGGCACATCTAGTTTCTTTTTCGGAAATAAAACCTATATAGGCACGTGTTTTTCACGATCCAGGCGTAAACCAAAAGCACGTGTTTATTACGGGCAGTTTTACTAGAGTTTAACACGTGTTTTTTGAGGTTTTAAAGTCAAATTTAAATGTTGCATGTTTTTTTCAGTGGTTTCACATTCCTTACGGAAAGTTATTAAAATATAATACTACGTTTCCATAACGGTGAAACCATTAATACTTTAACTGGTATTTATGGTAAATAGTAATAGTTAATTTCACGGAATAAAAACCTTTTAGGATACGTGTTATTCTTTTTGTTTTAGAAGGTTTTAAAAACGCAACAGAAACCAAGCGTAACTATTTTCTGAGTTGTGCCGGCTGGGTTATGCCCTACCGGCACATCTAGTTTCTTTTTCGGAAATAAAACCTATATAGGCACGTGTTTTTCACAATCCAGGCGTAAACCAAAAGCACTTGTATATTACGCGCAGTTTTACTAGAGTTTAACACGTGTTTTTTGAGGTTTTAAAGTCAAATTTAAATGTCGCATGTTTTTATCAGTGGTTTCACATTCCTTACGGAAAGTTATTACAATATAATACTACGCTTGCATAACAGTGAAACCATTAACACTTTAATTGGTATTTATGGTAAATAGTAATAGTTAATTTCACGGAATAAAAACCATTTTTGATACGTGTTATTCTTTTTGTTTTAGAAGGTTTTAAAAACGCAACAGAAACCAAGCGTAACTATTTTCTGAGTTGTGCCGGCTGGGTGAGAACATAAAAACTATTTTTTTCCAAGTATTTAGTTGTTTAATAAAACAGGGGATATTTCCTGACCAACTAAAGATCGCCAAAGTTTCACCAATTTTTAAAGGAGGGGAACTATCAAATATAACTAATTATCGTCCAATTTCTGTACTCTCTGGTTTTTCAAAAGTTTTTGAAAGGATTCTTTACAATAAAATATATGATCATCTTTCTAAAAATAAAACATTAAATACCAGTCAATATGGATTTAAAAATAATAATTCCACTGAACACGCAATACTTCATTTAACTAGAAATATTGCAGATTCGTTTGAAAAATCACAATTTACTTTTGGCGTTTTCATTGATCTATTAAAAGCTTTTAATACGATAGATCATGAGATTCTTATTCAAAAACTTAAAAACTATGGAATCAGCGGAAATTTTCTAAATTTGCTAAAAAGCTATTTAAGCAATCGTAAACAGTTTGTGCAAATTGATGTATCCTCCTCTACAAATTTGCTAGATATAACATGTGGCGTTCCACAGGGGTCTATACTGGGGCCACTCCTTTTTCTCGTCTATGTTAATGATCTGCATAATGCCTCAAATTTAAAGACAGTGATGTTTGCCGATGACATTAACCTTTTTCTGTCCAGTAGTGATATTGTTACACTTTTTAATGACATAAACATAGAGTTAGTTAAAATTTCAAATTGGTTTAAGACAAATAAATTATCAATTAACTTAGAAAAAATTCAATGGACTCTATTTCATCCTAAATCCAAATAAAAACTTTTACCAAATGATATGTCTCAAATATATATTGACAATGTTCAAATAAAGCAATCAAATATATATTGACAATGTTCAAATAAAGCAATCAAAAGTTATACATTTCCTTGGTGTTTTCATTGATGAAAACTTAACATGGAAAAATCATATCGAAACATTATGCAATAAAGTCTCAAAAAATATTGGAGTGTTGTATAAAGCGAGAAATTTTGTAAATAGACATGCATTAATTCAACTTTATTACTCGCTAATCCAATGTCATGTAAACTATGCTAACATTGCGTGGGGTAGTGCTAATAATAGTCAATTAGAACCTCTTTATCGGCAACAGAAGCATCTAGCACGTCTAATAAATTTTAAAGTTCGTTATACTCATGCAAAACCTCTTTTAATAGACATGAATATTCTTAATATATATCAACTAAATGTTTTTAATGTTCTTTGATTTATGTACAAATGTAAGAAAAACTTAACTCCAATATTTTTTCAAAATTTATATGCAATAAAGCCAAGAAACAAATATGAATTAAGAAATAACAATCTTATTCATCAACATTATTCGCACACAAATTTTGGAAGATCTCTTATATCATATCGCGGAGCTTTTCTGTAGAACCAAATAGTGTTAAAAAATTTTGATTTTTCTAAAAATTGTAGTTTTCTTACTTTCAAAAATAAACTGAAAAAAGTTATCTTGACAATTGATAACATCTTTGAGTTTTTTTGAATATTTTATTTAAATATTTAGTTTTATTACATATTTTGACATTTTTTACAGGTATTTTATGTTTGGTTTTGGCTTATTAAAAATCTTGTATTGTAAATATCGGTATTTTGTTTTTATTTATTTTGTATCGCATTGTTAAACGGTTCTCGGTGACAGGATCTTGCCATCCCCTTCGAGTTTCCGTGTTCTTTTTTTTTTATGTAAAACGATATTATACGAAATAAAATTGTAATAAGAACAAAAAAAAAAAAAAAAAAAAAAAAAAAAAGTGTTAACATCATATGTCTTATTAACTTAAAATTATTTAAAAACAATAAACCAAAACTCCTAGCAATATGTTGAATAAATTCATGTCAGAAACCAATGAGTACTTGCATTCATCCAACTTCAATCTATCCACTATCCTTATCATTTTAGAATGGTTCTCACTTACCTATTCACAATAAGCTAAAACAAGTGGCTTATTTGCCTCTCCTCGTTATCCTATGGAGCTTCTATCTTCTGCTCTGTCCTTGGTTGGATCAAACAGATTTACTATTACTATCAATGATCCTCCACCTATTGAAATATATCTCTATAAATACACACATATATATTTTAAAATAAATATATAAAAATAATATTTTCAAAAGTATCTTTTCAAAAAAATGAATAGTAAAGTAAAAATATAAATACCTTAATCTATCCCAACCTTTAAAAATGTGTTTTGTGGAACCTGCCCTCAATATTTCATTAAAGAATCCAGAAATGTTGTAATATTATCTTCAATATGTCTCTCTTCTTTTTACTCTTTATGAAAGCTTAATAAAAAACATAATTTTATTTTATAGATTACAATATTACCTCTCATTAGTTAAAAATGTTTCCTATTGTTACGTAATGTGTAACGTCTTGGTTAAGTGTAAACAACGGACATATTGTAGTGTTACGTTACAGTGTTACGTATTGTTATGTAAAATGTTACGTCTGAGTTACGAAAAAATAGCGCACATTTTGCATGTAACGTAACGAATATCGTTTACGTTACAATACGTAATGTAACTTTAAAATAATATAGGGGATATAGCTAACTTATCATAAAAGTAAACTATCGGTATTTTTATTTTTATTTATTTTTTTATTTATTTCAAAAGTTAAACAAAATAAAACTCTATTGCATTTACAATTAATTTTTATAGGTAACTTCTTTTTTAAAAAAAGAGTGATTGGTTGCTTTGGAGTTAACAATATTATAGGTATGAAAGTATAATTTTAGATAAATCTAATAGTTATTAAAAATGGAATCAGGTTTTTAATTATACAAATAAAGCATTTATTATTTTCTTAAACACATTTCTTGAAATTTATAACAAAACGAGCCCGTATGAATTCAAAATAACTAAAAAAAAACAATATTGAATCCTAGGATGGATAAATCTCTAATAAAATGTTCAAGAAATAAACAAAAACTTTGTAATAAACTTTAAAAAAACAGAATTAAAGTTAATGAAATAAGTTACAAAAAATATAAACGCTTTTACGAAAATCTTCTCAAGAAAGCTAAAAAAAAATATTATTGTAAAAAAATTACGAAAAACAAATTCGATGTGAAAAAAACGTGATTTATTTAACGATATAAAGTAAAAAAAGAAAATAAATACGGCTATACTACCTAAAAGAATAAATATCAATAAAACTGATATTTTTTGTCCATTACAAATCTTGAATGAGTTAAATAAATACTTTAAAAACATTGGCCCTAATCTTGCTAAAATAATCATAACTATCTTAAATCCTTATGGCGCGATACTGCAAGATCGCGACTTTTTTAATTAAAAGTTTAAAATTGCTTTTTCTTTTTTATAATTCACCTGGTTTCTATGAATAATTCACCTGGTTTCAATGACGTTTCTAGTAATATGGTTATTTCAAACAAAAAATACACCTCCAAACCATTGTTCCATTTTATAAAACTTTCAATAAAAGAAGGAATTTTTCCTGAAGCATTAAAGTTGGCAAAAGTATGTCCAATTTACAAAAATAATGATCAATCTGAAATCTCTAATTATAGACCTGTATCAGTACTTTATGTATTTTCAAAAAATTTGAACGCGTAATTTATAATAGAATCTATATCCACTTTAATGAAAATAATTTATTTTACACAAAACAGTTTGGTTATCGGAAAAAACATTCAACAGAACACGCAATAATAGAAATAATAGACCAAATTACTAAAGGATTTGAAAATAATAGCTTTACTCTCGGATTATTTATTGACCTTTTTAAAAGCATTTGTTACGGCTGATCACCTAATTTTTTTGGAAAAAATAAAACACTACGGAGTGATAAATAAAACCCATGATTGTTTAAAAAGCTATCTCACTGAAAGAAAACAATATGTTATTAGTAAGGAATCAGGTAAACTTAAATTTTTTTGTGGAGTTCCACAAGAGTCAATTTTTGGTCCATTGCTTTTCTTGATTTATGTAAATGATTTTAATAATGCATCAACAAAGCGTAACTCAGTAGTGTTTACTGACAACGCAAATCTTTTCCTTTCAAATTGTGACATTAATTAATTGAATTCTGACATGAACTTCGAACAAATGAATGTTGATGAATGGTTTAAGGCAAATATACTTTCACTCAATGTAGATAAAACAAAATATACTTTATTTCATAAAAAATCACAAGATGAAAAACTTTCTTTAAAATTACTTGATTTGATTTTAAATGATACATTAACTAGTAAAAAGATTCAATAAAATTCACAGGAATTTTTATTGATGAAAATTTATCATGGCTCCCCCATATTAATTATATTCAATCAAAAATTAGTAAAATAATTGGTTTGATGTACCATATTTTTCCATATGTAACAACTAGTATATTTTGACCTAATACTTTGTTTCATATACTATGCCAAAATCACATAGGCTAGTACTCAACCAACAAAACTTAAAAAAGTATTTTCTCTACAAAAACATGCATGCAGACTTATATATATATATATATAAAAATATGAGCATGCAAAACCATTAATGGAGGGCATGAAAATGATGAAGATATATGAAATCAACATTTACCAACACCTAATTTTTATGTAAAAATGTAATAACAGCTTGATTCCAAAAACTTTAATGATAAATTTACAAAATAAAATAGTTTTCTGTTAATATCTGCCAGGGTTAGGGTTAGGAATAGGATTAGGGTTAGTTCGTTGTTTTAATTATTTAATATAACAGAATTTTTTTGTGAGATTTTTTGTTTTCCTGTGATCATTTAATGCATTATCTTATTCAAGAAACTCGGTTTGAACTACTTTGTATTTCTAGTTAACGGCTAGTTAACTATACTAGTTAACTTGCCGTTACGACCTTTAGTTGACCATGGAGGAAGATTTTTTTTTTATATATTTAATACTATTCACTGATAAAAACAAACAAAAACAAATACAATAAATCTGTATATAGCTTGATGAAAAGTTGCCACATCAGGCCCGCTTGATAAAGAGGTGCCACACCAGATCCGTTTATGCTGAAAAAAAAAAAGATTTTTATTTTTCTTCCAAATTTGTGTTTAACTAAAACGCGTTGTTTTTTTCGTCTAGAATTTCACAAACTTTCACAAAAAATAAAGCAAAAAAGATCAAAAGTTTTCCCTCGCAAAGTCTTATATTTAAACAAAAAATCTAAATAGCTCATTAAGTTGTGATGAAAATCACTGTGCAAAAGAACATATTTTACTTTTAATATCTTCTACTACTAATAATATTTTACTTTTTAAATATATTTTCAAAATATAAAATTTGAAATTCTTTTTATACGTAACATTTGATCAAAAGTTATTTTATTTAAAGTATAAAATTTTTATGTACATATTATTATAATGCAAAGTGTTATGAATTATGTAATAATTAAAATGATATATATTTTATTATTACAAATATAATTCAATTATAATGTATGTATGCATATGTTTACAATACTATACTAATGTATGTATAACTTATTATGCTTTTAATTATATAATTTCGAATATTAGGTAAGTTATCATTTGTGTATTCAAATAATTAACTGTCATTTAATTTTTCTTTAGATTTTCTAAGTAATTGTAATAATTATAAAGATAAAGAAAGTTTATTTATTGAATGCCTTTATGAAAGTCAATCGTCATTTAATGACGAAATAAAATTATTCGTTAACAAACAAGAGCGCTTTTGGAGTATTTCAATTAATGATGGAAAAACACCTTACGAAACTGCATGTGATAATTATTTCGTATATCGTTATATAAAATGTGGAGGAAAGTTATCATTTTTAAGTGTTAATAAAAAAAACCTAAGTGATGAAGAGAAAGTTCTTTTAGTTCATTGTTTAAATAATGTTCGCAAGGTCTGCATAAAACTTCCGATTAATTTCAAAGAGTGGAAACCGGAATGTAAGATTGAGATGCTGTTAATATCAATCTCATGTTATTGTAAAACTAAAAAGGATTTTAAAGAAAACATTTTCCCGTGGTTCACTATTTGTGAAAAGTTACAGCTTCAACTTAACAATGACATAAATTTCATTGAAGATGTTTATAAATGGATTTGTTATTCAAATATCAAGGATTTGAAAATCTGGTACCGTGAAAAAGTTTTTTGTAACCTCGATGAATTAAAATGCTTTATAGACTCTCAAAAAAAATGTTCAATATTATAAATATATCAAGTAAAAAAAAATTACTATATAATAAAAAATAAAATATTTAATTAATTATTTTATATCTTAATATATTTTAATAATTACGAATTAATTTTACTATTATTTATTTAGTATTTATTTATTATTTATTTAGTATTTATTTAGTATTTATTTAGTATTTATTTATTATTTATTTATTTATTATTTAGTATTTGTTTATTATTATATATTTGAGTCTGCGCATGACACGAAAAAAAAACATTAATTAACAAACTTTTTAAGTCTATCAAAAAACAAAGTTCAACGTGTTATCGTAGTAATGATGATAAGTTATTAGTTTTATAAAAAGAAACAATCTTGATCTTTTATACAGAACTTGACTTTGGGTACAAAAAACGATTACTGGCAACGCATCGAATCCCTATCCATCTTATTTGCATATTATCAATATTTTTTGAACAAAGGTTGTTGTAGCACAACTAGAAAAATTCAAAATAAATTATTCCATTAGAGTTCTTCCATAAAGTACGTATGCTCGGAGGGGAAGAGGGGGTCTGCAAATGGCGTATATGAGATGGGAAGGCAGTGGTTCAATTATAAAAGAAAGGAGACACTAAATTAAAAAAAAATATACTAAAATGTTATATGAATAGGTTTAAAGTGTCAGTACTTTTAGGGAGGTGGAGGGTACTCAAAAGAGCGTGTAATACTCTTTGTTTTATGTTCAAATGTAAAACTAATTCTTCACCAGTTTCTTTCCATGATTTTTATATGTTAAAAGATAAAAATAAATACTTTTTACGCAATAACAATTTTATTAAGCAGCCATTTTTTCAAACTAACATGAGCAAATTCTGCATTACTTCTCGCGGACCATTCTTATGGAACAAAATTGTCTTAAAAAACTTTTCTCAAGATTTTATCTAACAATGTAACTACAACTCTTTTAAACGAAAGTTAAAAGAATTAATTTTTACAATTGACGATCTATCAATTTACTCTTAATAATTTTTAATAGTTTTCTCATTTTACCTCCACTTATCAAAGAACTATTATTATTTTATAATTTATATATTTACCAAGAATATGTATCAATATATACGACAATTTATATGTTTATTAACTTATATTGTATTTATATAACTGATCTTTTTATTTATAACGGGTTTTCTTAATATTTTTAATTGGTTTGTATCACGTTCATTTTAGCGGTTCTCGACGACAAGACCTTACGGTCTTCTACGAGTCCCCGCGTTCTTTTATTTCTTATTTACGATTTTTCTTTTTTGTTATTTTCTTGTAACTTCTATATTTTATTTTTTAATTTGTACATTTATAATGGAATATTGTTTAAAATGTTATAAAGAACAAAAATAAAAAAAAAAAAAAAAAAAAAAGCGTATTACAAAATTAGAGGGGGTTGGGGGGTTGGGTGGGAGTGAGGGTAGTGGACGAAAAAAAAGCGTACGTACTTTATGGACAACTCCTAAGGCTAAAATTATTGATAAAATGCTTTTTATGCTAAAGATGTGAATAATAAACGGATTATCTATGAATTTCAACAACAAAAAAACAACTCTAAAAGCACAAAAAATTTATAGATGAATTTCAAAGTGACGTCGCGCGTTTACATTTTTTCGGACGCGAAGGACACTGGCAAGATAGAAAGAAAATACGCAAAAGAAAATGTGGAGTGAATCTGATAACTTTTTAACATTAGAAAAAAACAATAAAGATGTATATAAAAAAAAATTATCTTTGTCAAATGGAATGTTACTCCCTTATCCTTTCGTACTTGAAAATTGGAAAAATGACGTTTCAATGATGCCCGGCATTACATGGGGTGACATGTACAATTACCTTGTTAACTCCCTAAGTAACTTTACACACGATTCAATGAAAGCCTATAAATCATTGGAATCGTACAACTTTTACATTTGTGGGCATGTTCAAGATGTATACTATAATTTAATTGAAGAAATAAATGAATTTTGTTTCATTAAATCTGAGGTAATTTTGCAAATTACAAAGTAAAGTTCACCGTCAAAGTGGCAAAAAAAAAGTGTTTGAAAAGTTGAAACCATAAAATTTATTTTAAGTAAAATGTAAAATGATATACGTGTTAACTTATTTATTCGACATTTAATTTATTAAAGATGCTTCCAAATCAAAGACAAAGAAAGAAGCAGAAATGTTACGAAGTATGTGTTGCAATAAATAAAGTTAATGGGTGAATTTTAACGGCAAATTGCAAATGCATGGCAGGGTAAGTACATTAATTTAATAATTTAATTCTAATTTTATTTTAAACAAGTATTTTAAGAAGTTTAATTGCTTATACATTTTTGAAATTATAGATTGGGCTCTGTGTGTAGTCACATCGGTGCTTTGTTGTTTAAGCTTGTTGCGTGTGCACAGCTCGGTTTAAATAAAATATCTTGCACAAGCACATTGTGCAGTTGGAAAAAATCACGCAAATCAGCAACTCTAGCTTCACTAAAAAAAATAAATTTTTCCCGACCAAAGAAGCGTGAAACTCTTCCAAATATTAGTGACAATGAAAACTCACAGGATGAAAGACCTTACAGCTTTAAGGATCCTACACCAATTTCAGACAGTAAAAAAAAATGTTGCTAGAACTAAAAAAATTATATAAGAATGCTGCTGTTCTTCAGTCTGTAGACATTAAAAATGAAAGCGAAGAACATTGTAGTGATACAGATACTGCGGAGGAGGATGACAGTTACAATGAATATAATTTGCCGGAACCACTTACTTCACTATATTTGCCTGCATCAATTACTTTAGATGATTCCACCTTAAAAAAATATTGTGCAGAATCATACGAGGAGTACAAATTCACCCAAAGTGTTAACATGTACAGCAATTTACTTAAAGTTACAAAGATTCAAAGCGCTAGTAGAATCTGGAAGTTGCACAGGGCAGGTAGAATAACAGCATCGTTATAAAAAACTGCGTACAACATAAAAGTTGATAAATACCCTAAGTCGTTTATAAACACAGTGATGCAATACAACGCAGAATTCATTACAAAACCTACGAGTTATGGTAAGAAAATGGAGACTGTAGCAATAAATTCTTACAAGCAATTAGTCGCGAAAACACATACAAATATAGCTGTTACAGAAACTGGATTGCATGTTCTTCACAAATATCCATGTCTTGGTGCTTCACCTGATAGTATGGTGTGTTGTGATTGTCATAGTTTTGGTGTAGTTGAAATTAAGTGCCCGTATAAGTATAGAAATGAGTTAGAAAATTGGAAAACAGATACAGATTTTCCTGTAAATTTTGACAATACGGTAAAAAAAAAAAAACAATATTACTTTCAAGTGCAGCAAGATATGTATATTACTAATACTACATACTGCCATTTTTACATTTGGACCGAAGGAAAAAATGAAAACGATACAATGTTAATTAATGTTCAGATTGATAGGGTCTTTTGTGAAAAACTGGAAACAAAGTTGACAACAATATTTTTTAAATTTTTACTACCTGAAATAATGTCTAGAAAAAATGATCCTAACAACCTTTTGAGCGATCAAACATACTGCATTTGCAAATGCCCAAGTTTTACACCAATGATTGGATACGACGGAAAAAACTGCAAAATAGGATGGTTTTATTACAGTTGTATTGAAATAAAAAATGCCCCTAAAGGTAAATGGTTCTGCAAGGAATGCATATAAATAAACTAAAGGATACATTATATTTATTAAATATCTTACTTTGTCAACAACATTTTGGCACTTTTTTCAGAAATAAAAAATCATTAAACTGTTAACAATTCTTATATAAAATTTACTACTCTCGAGTCTTTATTAGAAGGGGAGGGGGGATTAAGACCACTCTGTTTATTGATTTTCACTTGTTATCAACAAAAAATTTCTAAAACTATCGAAACTAAAAAAAAATAATTCAGTAAAAATCGGCCTTAAAATTTACAAAATATATACTAGTAACTAATAAATAATAAAACTTTTAGTATAAATTCTCACCCCCTACTTTTGTTAGATCTTGACTAACCACCCCTTCTCCTTGTATTAAGAACTCGAGAGTACTTGAGACAATCCAAATGTAAGATAATACAAAATAAAGTTAAAATAAAAAGGTTTTTCACTCCTATGAGTTTGGAGGAACAACACTACTGTTAATATTTACTAATGAAGTTATTATTACCATAACATCATTAAGTAAATCAACTTGAGTTAATGGGATAATGTTCTGAAGAATTCGAAATTTTCTTAACCGTCCAATTACACTTTCAACATGGATTCTTACATGTGCTATTTGACGTGATTCATCAACTTCAGCAGAAGACGTCTGTATTTTTCCTTTGGTAAACTTTGGTAATTTTAAAATCCCTCCTTTTGTAGCAAATTCTTCAACAAGTGTAAATCCTCTATTAGCAAGTACACAATCTCCATGGGTTATTTTTTCTAGAAATCCAGATTTAATTGTAACTTCTTTATCTGACACTCTACCACCCCATCCAGGGGATAAAAAACTTACAGCACCTAATGGAGTTATACCAATGAGATATTTAATTGTGTTGTTGTTTTTATAATTTGACTACGTTTGAGCTCGAGCATGAAGACTAAAAGGTCTTTCAATGAATATTTCCATGCAATCAATTATTGCAACACAATTATAGAACTTTTTGCGAAAACTTGTTGGCAAATTTCTTCGCAAAACATGCTTTTCTGGCCAAACAGTTAAAAACTTAACATTTTCAGCAATAATTGGAAGCCAAGATCTAAATATTGTAGTGACTGTTGGCTCAGAAAAACCAAATCTAAAGCTCAAGTCTTTATTTAAAAATCCAAGTTTGATTTTCATTAATATTAGCAATAAATGGTATTCTATTGGTATACTTTTCATTGGTTTTACACAATCATTAAACAATGATAAATACCACAAAAATAAATTTGCATTTGGCAAACCAGTATAAAAAAATAAAAGTGAATTATCATCTTTTAGTTTTTCAAACGAAATATATTGAGAAACAGATGATGTTATAGCTTTGTTTATCGTAATCTTTAATTCAACATTATTTTTACTTAAAGTTTTGACTTTAGAATGTAGCTCAGCAACAAAATTAACATCATCAGTCTGAGATTCTAAAAACATAAATATGTAACCATATATTTTATCAAAGAACGAAAGTAAAACCTTAAAATTAAATTAAAACTTATTTACCTTGATTTAATTTGAAAGGGTCGACTGATGTTGACGACATGATGATGATGTTACTGCATCCATATTAACTGACATCTGTTCATTTTCAGCTCTTGTTTGAGATAAATTATCTTCAGTATTTTTTTTTGTTTTTTTACAACTTCTTTCAAATCTTTCAATACTTTGATATTTTTTTTAAAAAGATTGCTGTCTGTATAAAAAAACAGATGGAACATAGTCAGGACTATAAGGATTGTCTGATTTTTTGCATTAAAATAGAGAAGAAAAAAAATTAAAACCTTATTTATTTTATTAAAATAATGAACTTATGTTAAATTAAATAAAAACAGAGATAATAATAATATTATAAAAACTTCTGGTTATCAAAAGAAAAAAAAAAATTAAATACCTGAAATAAAATGTTTACTACACAATCTTGCGTTATCAATCATACTTATTGGCCAGTTTTTACGTTTTAAGGCTTGTAACCATAAAACTTTTCTGTTTTTTGATGTTTCTGTATTTCCAAAAGGAATGCGGTAGAAACTCAAGTTTTTATCGCTTTTTATGCTTATATTTATACACCCTATAGCACAACAAATGTCAGGCATTATATTTTAAGAATTTAAAAAAAACTTACTTTATAATTAGTTTTTTAAACCTTTAGGTTAACAAACTTTCTAAAATAAGAGGTAAAACCATTAAGACAAATACAAAAAAATGTGATGCAAAGGTTTGTTAAAAGTAGTTTTAAATAAAAAATCTTTTGAATCTTTTTATTAGAGTTTGTTTTAAACTTGTGTTAAAATGTGCGTAGCATATATTTTTAAAAGTTTGACGAATTCTTATCAGACATAAAATAAATCTTTTTTTTTTATGTCTGATTATAATTTTTTTTGTAACTGTTTTCTCTTACTTTTGTATTTCCTTGAGGTAAAAAACAACCTTAAAGTACAAAGGTTGATTTGTAACGCATACTTAACCCTTTTTTTTTACTCTATATGTACATACATATATATCTACATAAACAAACATACATATATATAAAATAATGGTGCAAATTAAAGTTTTTTATTTTATTTATAACGTTGTACTTGATAAAAATAAATAAATAAAGTTGAATATTTTGAATATTTATTAAATATTATGATAAATTGTATAAAATATATATAAAGTATAAATATATTAAATATAAATTTTTTGTCAACTCTGGGTTATTATGCCAGATCTTGATAATCTCTTCCATAAGATCTTGCTTACTAGTAAGATTTTTTACAATCTCTTGCTTTACTATTTCCCAAATGTTTTCTATGCAGTTAAGATCATGCGAGTTGTCTGGCCATAGCAATACATCAACTAAGCCATAATAGTTTTTATTGTGGAATTACAATAGTTGAGCGTGTGTTACAATAACCACTAAAAACGTATAACCTGAATTAATACTTAGATGCCATGCACTAACCTCTACAAACCTAAAACAAACCCTAACCCTTATCCTATTCCCAAACCCTAAACATGAGATAGAATAAGTAAAAAAAGTTTGTACTCAAGTAAAAGTTTTTTTACTTAAGTAAAATTTTACTTAAGTTCAAGAAAAAGTTACTTGTCGAAAAGTTTACTCAAGTAAAAGTAAAAAGCAGCTTATTAAATATGTACTCAGAGTAAAAATTACTGCGTTACTTTTTTAACAGCGTAATAATGCTGTGGAATAAAAAAGGAAAAATCACAGAATGATATTTGCTTTTTTATTCGACTTTTTTCTGTATTAACTTTTTTTTTCAGCAGAAAATTTCTTCACGGTTGTAAAAAGTAAATAGAAACCAAGCTAAAGCAGTTTAAAATCCTAATGAGCGCGCTTATATATTTTTTTTTATCAATCTAAAAGTGCCATTTTCATTAAAGTGACCAAAATTTATAAAAGCAAAAAAACTAAATAAAAAAATTTGTGGGGGATTTCTAAAACGCCGAATTCTAAAAAACCGAAACGCCGAAATGCCGAAAAACCGAAACTGAATAAAAAACGGAATGAATGCAATGAAAAACCGGTAGTCAACCCCCGCATTAATTTTTAAGTTGTCTATTAAAAAAATTCAAATCATGTAAAATTAAAAAAATAGTGTAGCAATAAGTTTTGTATTGCTATGGCATCTGTGTATCGTACATCGAAGTTAGAGTGATTTTCACCAATAAGGTAAGTTTAGTGGAACCTGCACAATAAGAGAAAAGTCTGTCACTAATGTTAAATATAATTCATTTTTATATCTTATATATCTTCTATGGTGATATATATTTTATAACTTGTGGTACAATTGTTGTTTCTATTTATCTTGATCTAGCAATTATTGATTTAATTTAGTTTTGAGGACATTTTTTTAAATGTTGTAAAAAGGGATTGTTTTTGATTTAGTTTAAAGTTAATTCCGGTCCATTAATGCAAAATATTTATAGAAATGTTTACCGTAGGATTTTGTATTATATGTTTACACACTCAGTGCAACTCTACAAGATTTACTTGTGAGTTGACAGCTAATTGCACGGCAAAAAAAAAACCATTTGTTAAATATTGAGCTTTTTGTATATGCAGCTGTAAATAAGTAAACAATTTTCAATTTTGATTATGTCATGTAATTTAAAAATTTGTAATGTTTTAAAGATGTGAATGTATGGGTACTTTTTGGTAGAAATTCAATAATCCTGACTGCTTTTTTCTGCATGATAAATAGGTGAATCACTTATGTTTTGATTCCATAATAGAAGACAATATGTGATGTAAGGGTGAAATAAAGTATAGTAAATAGATTTTTAAAGTTTTTTGTTGTATGAAATGTCTTAGCTTTGATAAAATGACAAGAGATCTAATTAACTTATTAGAGATTTCATTATAAGTCCTGGCTAAGCTATTGTCTAGCTTATACCCAAGTAGTTTACACATTTTTTGCACCAAAGTTTTTCCATTTAACTTAATTTTGAGCTGCTGGTCTAATTTTTTGTGATGACTTTTAAATATTATTAAATCAGTTTTTATAGAGTTTTTTTTTTTTTTTTTTTTTTTTTTTTTTTTTTTTTTTGTAATTTACTTCCCAAGGCCAACAAAAATTTGCGTATAGTTTGGCATGAACAGTTTTAAGAATCATTTTTAATCAAATCAGTTTTAAGAGTAGATATAACTTTGGCATTTTTTAAATATTCTGGGAAAATATAACTTGACAAAATGATATTTGAAATGTTAGAACAAATTCTTGAAAGTTTTTAATAGTTTTAAAATTTTAAACGATTGCTAAACATATTTATTTTAATGACATTAAATTTAGAGTAGTTAGTTTAGCAGCAAACTTAAATTTGTTTTAAAAAAGTTTGTTAAATAAATTTTATTGTTATTATTCTTTGAAGTCTTTATATGTATACTAATTTATTTATAAGTATACTAGTGTAATTATATTTAGAATATTGACAACAAATGCAAGCATTAGGAGAAACTTTTTTTGGAAAGTGCTGTTTATGAAAAAAGGTATGTTTAAATCAAATTATTATATTAAAACTGTCTAGTAAGAGGATAATTCTTTACTGTTTAGAAACAAAATGGACTTTGTATATAAAGTTCAATATTTTGTTAAAACTGGAAAGAAAACTTTTAAATACATCTGGAATTTTTGAGGAATCAGGACTCTTAGAGCATTAAAAGGAAGTATTTAATTACCCATTATAAGACAAAAAATAATACATTACACACTAAAAACAAAAAAAATTGTTATACAGTCAAGATTTTTAATTCGATTGAAAAATTAGAATTTTTAAAATAGCCAATATTCTCAAATAATGCAGAGGTCCTGATAAAGAAATACAATAAAGAATGAAGTAAGTTTATATTTAGATATGAATTCATTATAAACTACTAAAATAAATTATGGAGTGCATTGGAAGTTGTCAAGTCAACAAATGTAAACAGTTTTGAGAAAAAATAAACAAATAAAAATTAGACAAATGTTTATTTATTTATTTTTTTTCCAATTTTCAGTTTCTGGTGAAAATTGAAAAAAATTATCAAAAGTTATATTTGTTAAATTGAAGTTATATTGCAGTATATTATCAAAAGCTTTTGAAGTGAGTTTCTAACTCACTTGCTGTTAAGGCAGTTACAGTTTGTCTAATACTGAGGATTATTATATATTTTTAAATGTAAGCATCAGTTTTTTCAGCAATTTTTAATATTTTGCTATTACTGATTATATATATATATATATATATATATATATATATATATATATATATATATATATATATATATATATATATATATATATATATATATATATATATATATATATATATATATATATATATATATGTATATATATATATATATATATATATATATATATATATATATATATATATATATATACATATATATATATATATATATATATATATATATATATATATATATATATATATATATATATATATATATATATATATATATATAAACTGTTTTTTTCCAGTAACTCTCAACCTAATAGTTGTTGCTTGCCTTGTTGGGAGTGAATCAATGTATCAGGGTGATCACAGCTGGTCTAAGATCCTCTAAATTTTAAAAATCTCCTCTTAATTCCTATGTTATCCTCTGAAAAATGGAATATTTGATTAAATCTTCATTTTAACTTTTTTTTTTAATTTTTTTATTTCTTGATGGAATGTTCTATGTTTCAAATTCCTAATCTGCAAAACTGGTTAATGTCGTAAAAGGCATTGGGTTGTAAAAAATCAATTTTAGGAAATCGATGTCATCATTGTTGTAGATACTTTTATATATTTTTATATATTTCATGTTATGTAAAACTTCTTTAACATAAATAGATTTATATAACATAGACAGCCAAAAATTGTGACATATGTTGCCATCTATTCCAAATGTTTTAAAAAATTATCTTTAAGTATGAGTGTTTGTGAAACTACTGGCAACCTGCATGTATGGCAAAATATAAAAGTCTCATTAACCAAAGTTTCAGGTAAACATCCTATAAGGTTATTTTTTATTAAGAGATATAAAAAAATAGAATATTTTTGAATGTGAAAGGAATGTGAAGGAACTTAGACGTTAAAGTACTTACACACAAACTAATCTCAATATACTACAAGAATTAATAACAAAAATAACTTTCAGAAGATTACCAATAATTTCTTCCTGCCATCTTCAAAATGTTTGAAAAATTAATTTACTGTGGATAAGTGAAATAAAAACGTTGTTTAATAAGAATTTTTACTAAATTTATAAAGTTTTACTTTATAAGGCATAAAAGTGGCTGTAATTTTTGTTTGATAATTGCTGTTTTCATAATTTTTTAAAACTCAATCACTTTTGATTCAATTCAATTTATTAAAAAGTAAAAAACAGTTTTAGACTTCAACGGTTGAAATTATTTTTTAAACTTCGTTGAAGAAACTGACATTGCTCCAGCATAAATTGAGATCGACCTGATGAAAGATAGTATTATTTATATATGTGATAATTAATAAAAGACAATTAGTTTTTAAATGAACGAATGAATGCTGGCCTTTATTATATGTCTGGTTGTGTATTATATTTTGTGCATAGTTAATGTAACAATAT